AAAAAAAAAAAGACTTTCTTGGGCCAGCTGTAGTGGCTTATGCCTATAATCCTAGAACACTAGGAGGCCAAGGCAGGAGGATCTCTTGAGGTTAGGTGTTCAAGACTAGCCTGAGCAAATTGAGACCCATCTCTACTAAAAATAGAAAATTTAGCCAGGCATGGTGGCATATGTGAGGTAAGAGGATTGCTTGAGCTCAGGAGTATGAGGTTGCTTGAACTAGACTACGGCCATGGCACTCTTGCCCAGGTGACAGAGACTCTGTCTCAAAAAAAAAAGAAGTTCTTCAGAGACAAGGAAGATAATGTAGGTCAGCAACTGAGATCTATATAAAGAAAGGAAGAACATTAAAGAAAGAATAAATGAAAATAAAAACTTATTTTTCTTATTCTTAATCTGGTAGTTAGCAGTTGGTTAAAAATAATAATATATTTAGCAATTATAGCTTATGTATAAATAAAATGAACGACAGCAATGATAGAAGGGATGAGAGGAAGAATTAGAAATATTGGTTACCATCAATTACTCGTACTACCTGTGAAGTGGGATAGTTATTTGAAAGTAGACTTAGATTAGTTCTAAATGTATATTGCAAATTCTAACAATCAATTACTAAAAATGTCTTTTTTCAGTATAATTTATATGCTAAGATAGGCAAAAAATAGAATCATACCAAATATTCAAGTAAAACCACAAAAGGCAGAAAAAGAATGGAAAACAAAAATAGAAAAAAAGGGCAGTGAATAGAAAATAGTAACAAATATGACATATTAATTTATCAACAATCACTTTAAACATCAATAGTCTAAATACAGTAATTAAAATACAGAGATTATTCAGAGTGGATTAAAAAACAAAACCCAATTATACAAGAAAACCTACTTGAAATAGAGATTAAAAGTAAAGAGATAGGAGGAAAAAGTAAAGGGGTGGGCTGGGCACAGTGGCTCATGCCCAGCACCTACTCCATCCTTCAAAACAATTTTGGAATTCTTTTTCTGGAGTGGCCATCAGAGCTGTCATTGTATTTATTACCCTTAATGTCCTAACTGTTGTCAGATGTCTTCCTTTCAATATTTTCTTTATCTTTGGGTAAAGAAAGTCTTTGAGGGCCAGATTCGGTGAGTAGGGAGGGTGTTCCAATACAGTTATTTGTTTACTGGCTAAAAACTCCCTCACAGACAGTGCTGTGAATGGAATTGGGTCAGCTGCTCATCTGAAGCCAGGGGGACAATGTCTACTACCAGAAAAGTTGGGAAAGGAGCAAGGCCCACAAAATACTCAGCTACCGCATGTGGCTACTGCAACTCAGAGACAGACCGTTGGGATGAGATGCTGCTGTTTATAGTAGCTTTTCTATCGATTGATTTTCCAACAATCTGTCCTTTAGTTTTCCTTCATTGTTGTCTTGCATTTTCCTACCCTTTCAATAGCAAATAACCACTTTATGTTCAGGAATTAGCAGATCAATTAGGGGAGCACATGAATGAAACAACTGTGTTCATGCTCATGTTCACCACCCTTCACTGCTTAGCGTCATTAGCAAATTTAGTAAAAATTATTCACCATTTACAGCATAAGATTGACTTCAGCATTGTAGCTCCTTTTGGGAGACCTTCAAGAAATGCATGAAAGTGGGCGGCTCCTGTGGCTCAAGGGGTGGGGGGGGCACCGGCCCCATGTGCTGGAGGTGGCGGGTTCAAACCCAGCCCCCGTCAAAAAAGAAAAAGAAATACATGAAAGCAAAAGTAACTAAAATTACCTGCAATTCCTAGTATCCAGAGATAACTGTCATAAACATTCTACAATCTTGGCTTGGCGCTTGTGGCTCAAGTGGCTGAGGTGCCAGCCACATACACCTAAGGTGGCAGGTTCGAATCCCCAGCCCGGCCCGCCAAACAACAATGATGGCTGCAACCAAAAAATGGCCAGGCGTTGTGGCGGGCGCCTGTAGTCCCAGCTACTTGGGAGGCTG